AAATGAGGTAATAATTGTAAAAGAGATGAGTTCCCTCAATTTCCTCATGTATAAAATGAGCTGGAGAAGGAAATGGCAAACCACCCTAGTATCTTTGCCAAAAAAACTCCATATAGAGTCATGAAGTATTGGACATGACCGAAATGACTGAAAAACAACAGCAAATTGCAAAAAGCTTAGCATAGTTCCTGGCATAATAGTAAGCACTACATAAATATCATCTATTATTAACGAATCATGGAACTGCAGAGTTAAAAGGGGCTTTAGTAGTTTAATTGCTCATATAATAGTAAAGGTCCAGTAATGTTAAGTGGTTTACCCAAAGTTGCATACCCAGTTAACCACAGAAATAAGACTAGTCCCCAGTTTTCCTGATTTTCCCCAATCCACTGCGCTTTCCATTATATCAGGGACACGTGAATTACTTTGGGAGACTCTAGTCACTTATTCACTAAAACTGTCAAATTTCTTATGATGACATTATTTATATTTTATATAACAAGTCAATTTAAAAAATGGAACATGTTCCATTACTTCTCTGGCATCAATCAAGAAAGTGAGAACTAAGTAAAATTTAGATTTTCATGATTTTGAAAATACTGTGTTATGATTGTTAACACTTAGAGATTATTATTAATGAGTAAATTATAGGAACTTTGAGGGATGATGGAAGTCATTTGGTTATATGACCATCATCTAGAAATAATACCTTCAAAACTAATGTCAATATATTATCATTAAGGTTTTTGTTGCTGGTAATAATAACAACAAAATAAGGGTAACAGGAATACTCTTCTCCTTTCTAAGGGAGAAAGGGAAATGAATATTGAAAATAATTTTAAAATGGCTTACACTGTGAATCCCAAGTTTCCAGAAGTGCTTAATAACTGAATTGGGGAGGGCTATCTTAGTCTCAGTTGGTTCGACTATTTTCATATGACCCAACAACTGGTCAGTTTAGTAAAAGAAAAAAAGTCACTTCAGGGAAAAACATGTCAGGTCAATGGATTGGTGTCTATAGATCAAACACAATCAAATGACCAAGTTTTCACTTTTTTGACCTCATATAGATAGCTTAAATGGTTCCCCATTTTGATACTGAGGATTGTTGTTACACTGAAAGAACAATTATGAAATTTAACATTTTTCTTTATTTTCTCCCTTAAGTGAAGAACATGTTATGTTAATGCCCTTCTTGAACTGAATGGTGAGGAGTTTCTCTCAGGTTAAAGAGTAATTTAAATACACCATTTGGTTCATGTTCCATCCAAGTAGAGCTTACAAGATCTAATCTTTTCTAAACCTGCTATTTTCTTCAGTTTACTAGCGCCTTCTAATTGTAGTTATTAGTTCTCCCTTTTATGTGGTCTTCTCTGTCGATAGACTATTGAGTATACAGAAAATTAAGCTCAAACCAGGGGCCAAACACATTGTGGCAGACGTTAAATCATAGACTTGCTTCCCCTTCCCCCGCCTTTTTTTGTAGTACACGTAAAGCAGCTTTTAAGAGTTAGGGACAGGATTCAACATGATGCACATTTGTGTCACTTATTTAATATAATATAAAAACCTGCTGGCCTCTCATATTACCAGCCTGCTCAATCAGGTATGTCAGCTCTTTCTAGGCAACAGGTGTGCTCTTGAAACAAAGTTCAACCCCCATTCTTGGCTTATGGGAAAGGCAGCAGCTGCAAGCTTAATGCTCATGACACATGGCCTATAAGACACAAAAAAATAAACTGCTTGTTCAGAGTGTTAGTAATACACAGATGGGCTATGGCAGCCTAGATTTTCTGCTATGGACTTACAGCCTAAACTTTCAGGAAAAGGTTTTGTATTTTTTTTCCAGAGTTAACAGTAAGAAATGTAAATTTATTTAAAATCTATTCCATAGAAGCATGATCATATTTTAAAATATGCCCTCATTTGATACATCATATACAAAGATGATTATGAAATTCTAACTGATGTTTGGAGGGAAGAAAGTATTGATCACCAAGGTCATCCACATAGTGACTGAACTCAGTACAAATATCCTATATATACTTTGAATGTAAGATACAATACAGGTCCTCAAGGTTCTCTGGCAAGAATTTTTATGTTTTTGTGGTAAGAATTCACTTCTTTTGGCTTTGATGAGAAATTGCTGATATAAGGTATCACAGAGTACTGGATAACTTTCAAGCATAATATGCATTTTAATATTAAAATAATGATACAAGAATTACTTGAAATGGCTACAAACAGTAAGAACCATATAACACTAACAAGAGCTAAGAGAGTTCTAAGTTTAGAATCTCAGTTCTAAGATTAGAGCTCAGCTTAGAATCTCTTATTTGGCAGGGTTGAGATCAATTTGACTTAATAAATATTTATTGAATGTTGCCATCCCATTTTTTTGTGTTAATCTATCGTATATAACCATATCACAGAAAGTGAGCAGCATGATGATTTTTTTAACCTATCAGAATCTCTTTTAAACACAAAACCATCAATGGGCATAAGGTAAAGCTTATATTGCATTATGCTATTATTGGAGTTTCATGGGGAACATGGATCTGATACTTATCCTCCCTTCTATCCCAATTGCTCTCCCAGGTAGAACATTTTAAAAAAATTTTTTTCCAGTTATAACATTTTAAGTAACAAAATGAGGACAGTGATAACAATTCTAGTCTCTCTCAGGTACAAATGCACCCTCTTTAAATGTGTGTGTGGGATAATAGAGATATTTATTGAAAAGACTGTAGCTGCAGAGGTAACCTGAGATTCCCTGAAAGGTTTATATTGGAAATCATAGAAATAATTGAGGAATTTAGGGTTGGATGGAACCTTGGAGAACAACCACCTAAGTCTAACCCCTTTATTTTACAGATGGGAAAAGTGAGGCCCAGAGAGGTGATACAGTTTATCTGAAGTTCACAGCTCTCCTACTTGGAGAGCCATCATTCAAACTCAGGTTCTCTGATCCCAGATTAAGGATGTACAATTAAAGAAGGCACAATTAGGCAAGGATATACAATTAGAAAGAGTTCTCTACATTTTAAAACCAGGAGAAGGTTCTTCCCAATATGTGTGCTGATGTCATACTTGCATATCTACTTGCTAGGTTCACTTCAAATTCTTTAGTTCAAAGCAACTCCAGCCAGTAAACTTAGGCACATTTGGCTAGAACAACATGTTAACTTGAAGCATTAATATTGAAAGCGACAAAGGACTTAAGATATCACCTCATTCCCACCTCCATGCCTTTTTTTCCCCATTACAGATGAGGAAAAAGAGAACCAGAAAGGTCATGCAACTCATTAGAAGCATAATTAAGACTAGAATCCTGATTTTCTGACTCTAGGTCCAAAGTCCTCTTCACTTCACCTTACTACCCCAAAGTAGAAGCGAAGAAGTAATGATGATAAAAACTTTTGCTTCTTTCTCTGACTTTCCCTCTCCCACCCACTAATCTTTTAGCTGCTGTGGCACCCTTAGGCAAAGTAATGCACATTTATTCTTTTTTAGATTTACAAATGAAGGCGAGTCAGAAGCAAATGCCAAGGATACAAGATAGGTGAGTTGTGTGTGTGTGTGTGTTTTAACTTACTCTGTCCAAGCCAAAGTTTTACTTGAGAATCAGGTTTCTAGTTGCATTTAATACTACTATTAGTGCCAGGCCTGACTGGTTGCTGGAAAATCTATAGGCAGACAGATGTCTGAGCTACAATCCTTGTGAGCACCTTAACCAGAGAAAACAAAGGCAAAAAGAAAAATGAAGGCTCTGGTGAGCACATTTATTTCTTTATTCATTTGCTTCCTGGATCAGATTTGCAGCAATTGCAGTCACATGCCAACTGGCCAGTAGACCATTTAAAAATCTGTAAAAGCTGAAAACATGCAACAAAAAACAGTAACACAGTGACCTTCTTGGATAGGGCAGGATAAGTACTGAAGTTACTAAAAGCCTGTCATCTGAATCAAAAGCATTTAAGCAATCTCTAAGGTAGGGATGCTAAGCTTGGAGATTCTTGAAGTTTGTAAATATGTCTCATCTGAATCAAAAGCATTTAAACAGTCTCTAAGCTAAGGATGCTAAGGTTGGAGATTCTTGAAGTTTGTACATATATCTTGTAAAATATTTTGATAATATTTCAAGGTAAGTGATTTCCTTTGTAATTTATTTTATGCACTTAAAAACATGATTCTGAGGAGTCCAAAACTATCATCAGACTGTCAAAGAGGTCCAAGAGATAGACAAGGTTAAGAAACCCTGCTCTAAGATCATATTATGAGATGGTCTAGAAGCTGCACGATAGCCCCATTTGAGTCAACATTGGCTTACTGCTATACTCCTTAGGAAACAGAAGAGCAGTGGGGCAGTGGGGAAAGGACTGGACAGCTGATTTAGCTGTCTCTTAGCTGAGACAACACATACTTACATAGTCCTTTCAGGTTTAGAAGCAAGATAAGGTAAGAAGTTCAGTAAAATTATTTCCATTATACAGATAAGGAAATAGACACGAAAAGGTGAAATTGTCACCAAACTAGTAATTGTGAGAGCCAGGATGTGAATCTGGGTATTCAGATTCCAAGTCTAAAGTTCATTCCAATAACACATATTGCTATCCTCCTCTTCTTCCTCCTCCTATCACAACTACCATGACCACCACCACTACCACCACCACCACCATTACTAGCTCTTTATATAGAGAACTCTTTATATACATTTTCTTATTTGATCCTCACAACAACCTTGAGGGTAGGTATCTTCGCTGTTTTTCAGACTGGAAAACTGAGGCTCCAAGAGGTCCTGGGTCACAAAACTAGAAACTGACAGAGGGAAGATTCAAACCCAGGTTTTCCTCATTCTAAGTCCAGAGCTCTATCTACAAAACTATGCTTTCTGGGGTCAAGCCCACCATCCCAAGAGACATTCACTGCTCACCAAGCAGTGGCAGTGGTTATCCAAGTCATTCTCTTAGCATGAAGCAAGAAAAGCAGAAAATACTCACGTGAGCCTCCACATCCCCAGCAAGGATCTTACTGTTCCTCAGAAACTCAGCAACCATGCCATTCATCAGTTTATCAAAAGCTTCCACGGAGGGTGAAACACCTTTGAGAGAAGGATACTTTATTACTCCCTGGTTAGCTCAAGGAAACAGCTGTTACTATCCTTCCTTAGATAATGGGGCTTAACTCATCTTGTTCATGCAATTATTCATTTACTCCCTCAGTATTTATTGAGTACACACAAGGTGCATGATTATATCAGGCAGTACAGCTTAGGTGATCCACAATACAATTATTTGTTTTCCTACTTTTCATTTTCCTCAGTGACAGCTAGTGTAACCTAGTTGCCATAATAAAGCCTTGCAAATCCTCACTACTAGGTCATTCACTTAGAGGAAGCAAGGATCACAGGAGCACAGAATCATCAGATTTTAAGAAGTAACAATCAGTAGTAATCAGCTCATTGACTTGCTTATTTTGTACACCATGAGAGTGTGTGTGAGTGTGTATATGTGTATGTGTATACTTAGGGAAAATGCTTATGTGCCAGCAAATACATAGTATACAATGTCATAATAGCTAAAGTGGCAACGATCCTAACCCTCAGCTGAGGATACTTGTGAATCTGAATGACATAAAGGGTTGACTTTTTTTTCAGCCATTAATTACAAGGGATTTCTGGACTTTTTCATCTGAGATGTTTTAGTGTAAGTTCCTGTTGAAACCCAGATTTCTGTTCATAACACTAAAAAACTCAGTTTGACAACCACCTCATGAACAATCACTATTCCATTAAAAATACATTTCTTTAAGATCACATTAGTTGCCCCTGAGAGAAACAATACCTGGGGTCTTACCTGTTTGTTTTTTTTAAATTTAACTTGGAAACCTCAAATAGAGCCCTATTCTCCTGTACAAAGCCTAAGAATTCTTGTTCTAGGTGGTTCAGTGTCTTGTTCTGGGGTCTTACCTGTTTGCTTTTTTTAATTTAACTTGGAAACCTCAAATAGAGCCCTATTCTCCTGTACAAAGCCTAAGAATTCTTGTTATAGGTGGTTCAGTGTCTTGTTCATTTTCATACAGCTAGTAAGCCAAGAAACTAAGATCTGAACTCAAATTTTCTGACTCCACAATCAGGGTTCTTTCCATTATCTCACAGTGACTTCCTAAGTACAGTACAGAGCCTCTCCAGGAATGGATTGGATTAGGGATTCCAAACCTGGGGCCCACTCCCTTCCACCCCAAGGGATTCCTGAAGAGGTTTCAGGGGGACATTGAATTTATGTGGGAAAAATTGTATCTTCAGTTATCAGAAAATAGTATTTTGAGAATAGGTCCATAGGTTTCACTAGACTGCCAAAGGGGTCTGTTATACACCTAAAGGAATCCCTTGATGAGATGATCTCTATGGTCCTTTCCAGCCCTAACAATCCATGATTACGTAACACTCCTACCTATTAGCACCAGTCCCTAAATTTCTTCCCAAATCTTTAGCAGCTATTAAATAAATCTATGATGTCTTTGTGAGAAGGTTGCCTGATGGGGTTACAGCACACATACTCATTAGGGTTGGAATAGGGGAGGGGAAGTTGCATTAATTTTATTGAGTTTCCCACATAAAGGAACATACAGTGAGAATTTGTTTTCTAAATAATTATTACTGTAATCATTTAAATTTTTTTAAGCTATAAAACAGTATAATTAAATTACATGTGTACATTAAAATTAATTAAGGGAATTTTTAAAGTAAAGGATATATTCTAAATTATACTAGGCATACTATTTCTCCACTAAAGTCCTACTCAAGAATCCCTGTGGTTCAGATGTAACCCTAGATTCCTAGAGGTTCTGCTAATGGGGAAAAAACTGGTAGGAAAGGCTTTTGGTATGTGTTGGCAATGGATTGTGAATGATTGGTGAGAGAAGAGGTATATCATAGTCGCTGTGAGGAATAAGATAAATACTTATTAAGAGTAAACTAGAAGAACTGTTTTCAGAACTGAATGGATAGCTAGATCAAAGAGTTGTCATTCATGGGTTCATGTCAACTCGGAAAGAGGTCTCTAGAGGAGTGCCCCAGGGATTTGTGCATGTATTGGTTAACATTAAATCAGTGATTTAGGTAAAGACATGGATAAAATTCTTATTAAACTTTCTAAAGACACAAAACTAGGAGAGATACCTAACACAAAGGATGGATAACAGGACCATAGATTTAGGGTTGAAAAATATCTTAGAGTTCAAGTCTTTCATTTTACAGTCAACTGAGGCCCAGAGAGGGTGATTTATCCAAGGTAACACAAGGAGTAAGTGGCATAACTATGATTTAAACCCAAGATAGCAGAGTCAGGATCCCCAAAAAAAAATCTCTACAGGCTAAAACATTTGGCTAAATCTATTAAGGTAAAATTTAATGCGGATAAATATAAAGTTTTACCTTGGTTTTAAAGAAGTGACTTTGCAAGAATAAGGAGGAGACATGGTTAGAAAGCAGTTTGAAAAAGATTTGGGGGTTTTAGGTTCAATATGAGTCAACAATGTGATACAGTAGCCAAAAAAATATAATGAGATTTTGGGCCACATTAAGAGAGATATCACTTCCAGGAATATGGAAGTCATAGTTGTACTATAGTCTGGCCACAGTTAGACTATATCTGAAGTATTGTGTTCAATTCTGAGTGCCTCAGTTTAGGAATGGACATTGATTTTTGAGCTGGAAAGCAACCAGAGGAAGGTAATCAGTATGGTGAAGGGCTTCTGAGTCTATGCTATATGAGGACTCAAATGAGTATAACCTGGAGAAGATAATACTCCAAGTGGGGGTGGGGTCACAGAATAGCTATCATCAAATAAATACATGAAGAGCTATCATGTGGAAGAGTCATTAGGCTTTTTTATTTTGCCACAGAATGCATAACTAAGGTTAACAAATAGAAATATCAAACAGGCAAATTTAATTTTTTTTCTTTAAAACCATTGAAGTTATTTAAGTGGAATATGATGCCTCAGGTGGTAGTGAGTTCCTCCTCAGTGGAAGTCTTAAGTAAAAGTTGGATGATAACTTGTCAGGTTGTTGTATTGCTATTCTTTCTGGGGACTAGATGACTACTGAGGTATCTTACAATTATAAAATCCATGTGTTTCTGTGACTACCGAGCATATCAGGAGCCCATATGAGGCAATGTCCCACAAACCTCTAGTAGGTGAAGTCACCTTGATCTCATGACCTTTCTAATGACTGTGAGAAATTTTGGAGAAGCAAAAAAAATCAGATAGGGGAGGTTTCCAAGGGATGAAGATTTTGTAGTTGGGAACATTGAATGATCATCGTACCAAGGGATTTTTTAAAAAATACACTTTCATTGATATCTTTTGATATCCCCCAAATTTCCACAAATATTCCTCCCTATTCCTAGATGGCCATCCTATGTAACAAATAATATTTTTTTAAGAAAAAAGTCAGTAAAATTGATCAATACATCAAAAAAGTGTCTGAAAATTTATGCGATATTCTAGATCCATGGAATTCTCACTTCTGCAAAGGAGTTGGTGGGGAGGTGTCTTCTCCTACCTCTTCTTTGGGTCCATGTTTGTTCTTTGAAATTTTCACTGTTGAAAACATTTTGAAACATTCACTTTTGATTGCTTTGTGGTTGTTCTTTCATTTACATTGTATTAGTTATTTTGTATATTGTATTTGGCTCTGCTAACTTTAATCTACATCAGTTCACATAAGTTTTTCCATGCTTCTCTGTATTCATCACATTCATCTTACTATTTAGCATAATAATATTCCATTACATTCATGTACCACAATTTGTTTAGCCATTCTCCAGTTCTTTGCTCCTACCCAAAGGCCTGATATAAATATTCTGGTGTATATGCAGCATTCTTCTTATCACTGAGCTTCTTGGAGTATAATAGTTAACATTTATATGGTGCTGGGCCTGGTAAAACATTCTAATTTTACAATTATTATCTCATTTGGTCCTCAAAACAACCTTGGGAGGGAGATGCTATTATTATCCCCATTTTGCAAATGAGAAAACTGAGGTGAACAGATCTCTTCCTGACTCCAAACTCAGCACTCTACCTAGTGTGCCATCTAGCTGCCCCCCTAGTATATGACTAGTAGTGGAATCTTTGGGTCAAAAGGTATGGATATTTTAGTCATTTTATTTGCATAATTCTGAATGTAGCAAGGGTTTCAAGAGCATTAACATTAAAGTGGCAAACCATAGGTTTAAGGCTAGGTATAGATTCAAATGAATCTCTCTGTATCTCTCTGTCCCTCTCCTGCCCTCTCTCTTTCTTCAGATATAGAGAGACACACAGAGACACAACGACAGAAATAGAGACAGAAGTAGACAGAGACAAAGAGACATACAGACAGAGATAAAGAGAAAGAAAGAGCTAGAAACAAAAAGACAAAGTCAGAGAGATGGAGTTGGAGGGGACAGAAAATACTGAAGGTCATAATAAAGGACAAAGAAATTGTGAGTGAGAAAGTGGGAGAAGAAGTATAACAGGTTATGGCTGGAAAATAGTAGACTTTAAAACTTCAATGTGTTAGACATGGTACAATTCTGAGATGTTGAGATCTAAAGTATGACCATGCTGGGGTGCAGCTGAAATGGAGTAGAGGAGGTTTTTGGGGTTAAGCAGGTTAAGGAACTCTTTGGTCAGGGTGTCAGAGTAATTATTAAAATATTGAAGTTTTGAGGAAGATGTTGGGGAGATGGAGTTCCAGATACTAAATATATAAAGGAAATAGGTAAGCAAACTGTTGCCTAGTTGTCCTTAAGAAACCAGCTTTGATGAATAGATAAGAATGATTTAGCATATCCATTATACATAATGTGATTGCAACAGTTTGTTCTCTTGGGTAGTCAGAGAGTCTAAACATCTAACCTAAAATCTTGTTTAATCTATTATTTTCCTTAGTAAATTCCCCTTTTTACGGAAAGTGAAAAAATTCAGTTCAGCTCAGTCCCTGTCTGAGTAAGTGTGGTCCAAATTAATGAAGTTTTGTCTTACTGAACGGCCTTTCAGAATCATCTTGTATTTGAACTTTAGTTTTCTTTTTCTCCTTTTCTTCTTTTTGGTATTTTTGGTCATTTGTAGTCAGCTATCTTTAGAGAAATGTGATCACCTGAGGTCTATAGCAGAATAATGAAACATGCTGAGTATAAGACAACATGAAAATATTTTCTTACAAGTGCAGATTAATGAATCTCATGTACCAACTGTGTAGCTAACAAAAAGACACTTAAAATGAAACCACAGATATGTCTCAGTTGATGCAGAGAAAGCTTATGGGATCCTGGCAGATTTCCCTTAAACAACATTCCCTTTCAATTCCCACAAAACCATTTCTATTTTCACTCTATTCAGAATAAAAAAAAAATGAGCCTGCACATTTACGCTCACACAGTAATTTTTGTCTTTGGGCATGTAATACAACGCACAGGACTAAGTAAGCCTGAAATTCTAGAAGCACTAACATAAATCTTGCCCTGTGAAAGCTTTTTCTGACCCCCAAAGCTTTTCTCATTCTAAAGTAGCCTGAAATATTTCCAAGTGGGTATGACATGGAAGAAATTTAATGTGACAAGGCAAGATTGCAAAAAAAAGAATTGTTAATGACCTAGAGAATTTGAAAAATACTTTACCATATTACTAAACATAATACAATTTTTAAAAGAACTATATATTTTAAAAAATGTTAATGTTTTTAATTAACAAAAATCCATTTCTTTCTCTTTTCCCTCTCTTCTCATTGGAAGCTATAAAAAGAAAACTCTCGTAAACAGATATGCTTGGTCAAGGAAAATAAATTCCAGCTTTGGTCATGTCTAAAAAGTATTGGTCTCATTCTGTAACCTAAGTCCATCACCTTTCTGTCAGGAAGTGTGTAGTAGGGTTCATTAGTGGTCCTCTGGAATCACTGTGTTGATTAGAGTTTTAAAGTCTTTCAAAAGTGTTCCTTTTAACAACATGATTGTTTTTGTATAAATTACTCTCCTGGTTCTGCTCATCTAACTCTGCATCAGTTCACAATAAGTCTTCCTCATTTTTCTCTGAAACTATCCTTTTTGGAGAAGCTAGGTGGCACAGTGGATAGAACACTGACCCTGAATTCAGGAGGACCTGAGTTCAAATCTGACCTCAGACCAAATACTTGACACGTACTAGCTGTGTGACCCTTGGCAAGTCATTTAACCCCAATTGCCTAAAAACAAAAAAAAAATACCATCCTTTTCATTATTTCTTGTGAACCAAAAGAGTATTTCACTACATTTATATAGCATAATTTTTCCAGCCATTCCTCAGATGAGGGGCACCCCCTTATTTCCAGTTCTTTGCAACCACAAAAGAATATGACAAAAATATTTTTGTACATAAGGGTCCTTTTCCTCTTTCTCTCATCTTTTTAAAAAGGGCCTAAGGCCCTGAAATCTTAATAGCATGTTTGCTTATAGAGTAAAACAACTTCACAAGGTCAACTAAAAGTAATGTTGAAGTGTGCTTTATAAGGAATCTAGTCTAGATTGTGCAGAAAGAATGAGGAATCTATCTTTTCTTCATCTACTCTCACCTGAAGGGCTTGTGAAAAAATGAAAAGCTGAGATGAAGTCTGTGTTTATTTTGAGGCCTGTATGAGGTAGTTACTTTTTAAACTTGCTGAGGCTTGCAGCCCCTAAACATAATGATTCATTTTCTTTAAATTTCAGATGTAGAGAACTATATTTCTTTATATTCTCTTTGACAGCTTTTCTTTCTTTTTAAAAAATTTCTCAGAAGTCATACTTAGTGCCATACAGAAATATATTTATGTATGTATGTTTCTATACATATAAACACACACTAAAACAGAAAAAAACCACAGTAAAGTCTAGAAAATTGACCATGCTCTTAATAGTCCCTAATATTAACACTCCTTTCAGTAGTCCATAAATCTTTTTGTTTTCTTTGCTATAGAAATTATTTTCAAGCTTTTTTGTTCATTTTTTTATTTTAAAATTGATTTATTTATTTTTAGTTTTCAATATTCACTTCCATAAGCTTTTGAGTTTTACATTTTCTCTACCTCCCTCCCCTTCCCCTCCCCATGATGGCAGGCAATCTGATATAGGCTCTACATATACATTCTTATTAAACATATTTTCACATTAGTCATATTGTAAAGAAGAATTAGAATTAATGGGAAGAACCATGAGAAAGAAGAAACAAAACAAAACAAAAAAAGAGAGTGAGAGAGAGCAAAGAGCATGCTTTTGATCTGCATTCAGACTCCATAGTTCTTTCTCTGGATGTGGATAGCATTTTTCATCATGAGTCTTTTGAAGGTGTCTTAGATCCTTGTATTGCTGAGAAGAGCTAAGTCTATCAAAGTTAGTCATCAGTTCAACTGTTTTATGATAAAAAGGGAAGAGTAAATTGCAAGGATAAGGTAGATTGCTCAGTTCTAAATGAGGTAGCAAAGAGATCAGTTTATATTATAGGATATAAGTTCAATGACACCCCTTGTTCCTACCTCCATTGACTCCATTCACTGTTCCACATTCCCCATGAGGTCCAGTTGACCCTGAAAACAATGATTCTAGGCGGATTACAGCTTTCTCCAGTCTTTCCATCAATCCCTGTGTTTCTGCCATTCTGAAAACAAAAGTAACAAAAATGGATGCAATATCAATTTTGATGAAGAATAGGAACTTAGTTTTAGGACATACATGGTAAGAAAAACAATTAGAACTCAGAAAACTTTGCCAACAGTTTCAAAAGGACTTTTAGACTTTAAGAAAATATGCAGTTTAGAGCACAAAAGTCTGAATGGGGGGGGAGGGGAATGAGGTATATCTAGTCCATTTTCTATCCACCTGGCCCAAATGAGTCATTATGTCACCATTTTACCAAGTGTTTGTTCTTTACTTATTTTCCATTATAAGCTAATTTCTATTTACAGACCATGTGGCAGGCAACACCTACTGCATTTCTTAGTATTATTTATAGAACTAAGAGGCATCAGGTTGATTGATGAACAAAGAATTGATGTTGGTGTCTGAGAGGTCTAAGATAAGAGCTATAAAAGGTGTTCTGAAATTAAAGACCTCTATAGTTTAAAAAAATACATCTCTACAATTAAAAAATTATTAGCAACTTATCTATGATCAATTATTAAGAGTCTCAGCTGTCACCACATAAAATTTGTTTCAGGGAGATCAGAGTTCAAATCCTCCCTCAAATATTTACCAAATGTATGATCCTAGGAAATCATTTAACCTTTCTCAGCCTTAGTTTTCTCATCTGTAAAATGGGATAATAACATCTACCTCCCACAGCTGTCATGAAGATAAAAGACAATGCTTTGGAAGCATTTTGCAAACCTTAAAGCATTATATAAATAGTACTTATTCCTACTACTACTATTATTGTTGTTGCTATTATTTCCTACATTGATGTCAAAAGCATAGACATTCAAAGTTGGGAGGGAAATGGAATTCACATAGTTCAATCCCTTCGTTTTGCAGATGGGGAAAATTATGCCTAGAGAAGTTAAGAGACTAGCCAATACTACACAGGTAGTGAGTGAGGGTAAGAGCTGGTACCAGGCCCCAGGTCTTTTGTTTCTTCATTCACTGACCACATCATGTATATTGACACTTTTTTGGTGGCTGTTAAGCAAAAATTTGCTTCAAGTTTTCTTTCTTAATTTTGTACTAACTAATCTAGTAACATCATATATTTCCCTCTCCAGTAAGGTCAGAAAAGGAATTTTTAAAAAGTGATCTAGCCTCAGGATCTATTTTACTAAAAGATCACCTGCCTCAGTTTCTTTCTGTCTGAACATGTTTAGTCCCACCCCTTGGCTAGTCCATTAACTTCTCAGTGCTCTAGGACAGTAGTGTCAAACTCAAATAGAAATGAATCCTTTCTGGCCACATATTGACTTAGAAAACCACAAACTAATATTGTGTCTTACTGTATTTTTACTTATTTTGTTAAACATTTCCCAATTACATTTTAATCTGGTTTTGGTAGCACTCAGGAGTCTTACTGGATGGCTGCTAGTTTGAAACCTCTTCCTAGACAACTCTAAGTTTACAAGTTGTAATAGAGAAGATGCTGACCTCTATCAGTAGGCAGTTCTCTCACCTGGAATTTTTCCATACCAATGAATCATAGGTCTAGTCTCTATTCCTATCTCCCATCCCTGAAAATGTTCAGTTCATTAAGACAGGAATTATTTCCATTTCTTTCACATGTAGCTTCTCATTACACATAAAAGATATGACCACATTCAAAGTATTTCAGCAATTTATGAAAAAAAGCATAATGATCTTGTCTAACCCACTACTTCCAAACTGGATAAGACCAAAGATTATTTTCAGTACAGTTAATAATCACAGTCTTACATGTAATAGAAAACATTGTTCTTCATCAGACTGTGAAAAGCAGACTGGTCAGAGTTACATCCAATTTACTCACTGTCACATAAACAAAACCTGTGTTCGCCTCTTATTTAAAAACAGCCAGACATCCACCTCAGAAGCAGTGTCACAAATATTTTGTCTTGCTAATTGATAAGGATCACATTCATGTTGCTTCCAATAAATCATTCTGTTAAGTCTAAGTCCTCAAGAGACAGCAAACCAGCTGGTAACCCTCAAGTTTAATAAACTATATTAAACCAAACAGCCAATAGCAACTGGAGCTAATATAATAATTGTACTTTCAGGATCCATTAGTTGTGGAACATTTAGAATGTAAATAGAAGCAAATGTCTCCAGGGACTAATTTTTTTTAATGTATTATTAGATTGTATACATTCTTTCTCCAGCTTGATTATTTTTAAATAACTGGTAAATAATGAGTTCTTTGGTTTAAAAACCCACAAGGGTTATTTCATTTTTTTGCAATGCTTTTGGATTTTAAACAAAAACTGGTTTTTAATTATGATGGGATAGAAGAATTTGAGAGTGCCCAATATCTCTATAAAGATAAACTGGATATGTATCTGACCAATAATTTTAAGAAAAAAATAGGCATTAGATACCCATCTAAAACTATCTTAAATACCCCCAAAATTTAAAGAGTGGACAAGGTAGGGACCTTCATATGCTGGTCCCAACAATTATTTCAATAAGGAAGCCTTGGGGAATCAAACAGGTCAGTGGAATTAGGTCACTGCCCAGAAAACATTAAAAACAGACCTATATTAACCAAAGCATAGAGTGTGTAAGAGTTCTTCTCACTTTCAAGAACATAGAAACTTCCTTTCACAAATAGTATAATGCAAAAGAATGAAATACATTATCACAGGCCACATGCAGCCCACAACATTACTGAGTGTTGCAACAGAAACAGATTAAAAAGCAACTGGGAAATAGTTAATATAAATAAAAATATAATAAAACATAGAAAATATTAATATGTAGTTTTCTAAGTCAAAATGTGGGCTTCAGGAATCTTTATGTATAGTTTAGCAGCCTCTGCTTCTATCTGAGTTTGACACTATGGGTATAAAGCCTCATTCTGAACCAAATGAGGCATTCCTGTGCTGCACAGAGACTTTGTTATTCTGAAAGGTGGTCTGTCCCATAAAGTCAAAATTTCATGTGCAATAGGGTGTAAATTTTTAAAAAATTTCTTCTAGGAGCTAAGTCACACATGTACTTCTCTACTTTTTATTCCATTGGTCTTACATTGACATTTAGTTCAGCTATTATGGCCATAATTGGCCAAATGGCACTTTTAAAAGCAAGGTTATACTTATGAAACACACATATGACTTTGTTCCTTCTTGACCAAGAGTCAGATGGTAATCAGATATGAACGGTGGATATCACTATTTTGAAAAGTCCTCTACCCTGCAAATGTGGTAGTGAGGCTTTCAAAATATGGGCCAGTGCAGATTGCATTGCTGAAATTAGAATCTTATCCCAAGAGCATTCAGAATTAGAAAGTTCCTTCGTCTATTCTTTCCCTTTACACGTCAGAGCTTTTTTTTCTCTCTCTCTTCTCTCTCTCATTCGGAAAATATATTTTTTAAAAAAGGAACATAATTGAATCCTTTACATAAACTTTATGAAAGGGAAATGGGTATCTGTGGGCAGGTGAAGACCACTGGAGAAATGACGAAAGCTCCCCTAATCTTTTAATAGTTGCCCATCTGTTTGCAGTTGCCTGAACTCCATTGCTTAATTTGCCAAATGCTGCAAAAAGCTAGCCCCTGACAGAGGAAAAAAAAACGCTTTAATTTTTATAGAAAGAATACCTTCCCTTTACTTTCCATTGCCCCTCCCCCCAGCCAACAACCACAAAATGTCAACCACCCACAGAAGCTCAGACTGCCAGCTGTTTGGGGAACACTTGTTTCATCTCATGCTTAGGACTGCTTGGTATGTTGGAACCCTAGACAGCCACACGGTTATGCCCTCACTATTTTTAATAGGAACTCTGTAAAAAACACGACAGGGTCTATAAACAACAGAAGGGTGGGGGAACAGACAAGTTATCCAAGTGAGGAAAATAATCCTTTGAAATCTGAGGGGCCTCTAGAAACTCAGATATTTCTATAATTCAGAACAAGGAATACCAACGGCAATTGTGCGACTGCATCTTTCTGTGAGGTCAAAAATGTACCATCTATTCTACAGCAAGGTTGGAGATGCCCTTCAGTTTAGACTTAGAGTACTGCAGAGCAGCTGTACCCATAGGAAGCCAAAAACATATTCCATGGAGAGACATTCATACAGATGGAAGGATACGCTAATCCTGGAGAAAGGCCTATCTCTGTGTGCTCAGTGTGATCACGACTGGATTCAACATCTGCTTTCTTTCTGTGGTTATCAGATCCCAGTAGCATAGATTTTGAGTTGGAAAGTCATTTAGCCCATCCTCTCTCATTTTATAGAAGAGGAAATGATGCCTAGAAAGGTCAAATGGCCTTTCCAGAGTCACACAGGTAGTAAGTAGCAGAACTGGGATAAGAAACAAGATATCCTGCTGTCTGTCACTCCTCAATTTCTTTCCCTTGTATATTCACGCCCAGTGCTTTCAGTGACACAATGGATGAGAGGAAAATAGTATCGAGTCTAGTATCAGTTCATGGAAATCTTCCTACATTTCTCTGAATTGATAATATTTACTGTTTCTTACTATACAATGCTTTCATTACATTCATATAATACTGATGGTCACTCACTTTATTTTCAGTTCTTCGCTACTATGGAGTGTGTTGCTGTTCTGAATGTTTTGGTAAATAGTAGACTCTTCCCCCCACCCCCATCTTGGATTTCCTTGCAATATATGCACATGAATGTGATTGGGGGTGGGGAGAAGCAATGGGTATGAACAGTTATTATTTTTCTTGCAAAGTTTCAAATTGATATACAGAATGGTTAAACTGATTCATAATTCTACTAAACAGTATATTGGCATGCACAGTCCCACTAGCTGACTGTTTCCTGTTTTGATTGATCTTTGCCAAATTTACAAATTGTGAAACGAAATCCCATTTTAATTTACTTGCAAGGATTTTATTTACAATTTTTGTTTAAATGCTCATCGATGAAATTGGTCTATATTTCTCTTTTATTATTTGATTTCTCCCTGGTTGGAGTATCAGGACCATATTTGGATCATAAAAGGACTTT